GAAGAGCTAAGGCCAGTAAGAACTTGTCTGTACGAAGAAAGCCCACAGAAGCAGAAAAGGATTTTAAAGGGACTGATGTTTGCCACAGCTATGGGGAAACCAGAGATCTAGAAAGTAACTGTCCTCGGCCCACTGTGGAGGGTAGGAGCACCTTGACTCCTCAGTAGGGTGGGGGTGGGAGCACCTTGATCCCCTCAGTAGAGTGGGGTTGGATGTGGGGACACCTTGACTGTTCAGTGGGGTGTGGGTGGGAGCACCTTGACTCCCTCAGTGGGGTGGGGGTACAGGGAGTCTTGACCTCTCTGAAGGTGCAATGAGGGAAACCAGTGTGAGGGAGGATGTCTAGCCTTCAAAACGCCAGCTCCCATCAAAGCCCAAAGTTTCCCAAGCTCTCCTAGAAAAGCTTATTCAAGCAACTGGAGACCACCACAGAGGTTCCTCCGGTAACTCTTGATCTGGCAGGTGAAAATGCTAATTTTCTTCTCACTAATGGAGCTTACAAAATGAATCTTTAGGATGATAAATATAGCTGTCTATACTTCGAAGCCAAAGGGAGTTATTATTGTCAGGCCCAGGACTCGCCCCAGGATTGCTTTGCATGGGATGGAAATCCCAGATGGATTCTAAAGCTAAGATGCTGATGGTGAGATGGTAGCAGCTACAGGAGCGCTCTGTGGCTTCTGAAACAATTCCAATAACACTTCCCCCAAATTCACTATAAGCTCATCTTGCACATAAACAGAAGGAACAGATGACCCAGGAAGGATGTATACTGACAAAAAATGCCTGGTAGACTCATTGTCAACACAAGTTGTTTAGACCTTATGATTCATGGTACCCAAAAACACAGCCATTAGCTGCTCTAGTCACTTGCATTTTAGGGAATTAAAATGAGTACAAAGTCCACAGTCTAAAGACTCATAAGGACTTGTCTATTCTGTCCTTCTAATAAGCCAGGAGGAAGAGCCAAACCACTGCCTTTCCTTAACCTAGGACACCATGGGACAGATTCATCCTGAGTAACAGAGAGACAATTAGAATTTACACAAACAATCACCACGAAATATATAAATACCGTCTGATGTTTGCTGATACTGTCTTGGGATGGATGGGAAAACTTGACAAGGCCATATTTTTTTATCTTCCTGAACTTGGGTTTGTTTTGCTTTTGTTTTTAGTTTGCTTGTTTTTTTTTTAATTTCACTTTTTGTTTTAGAGATTTTTGTTTTGTTTTAACATAAAGGATCTCATTCTTAAATTTAAAAACCCGATGGCCACTCATATTCTGACAGTCTCACAAGGTAAATCTGAGTCATAATGAAGGTAGAAATGCTATGTATATAGACCTGACCCTAAATGTGACTATTGTACACTACGCAGTGTGTCATACGGAAAGAGGAAGATGTGCTAATAGCAGGACAAACCAGAAAGCCTCCTTCTGGCCTGACTCTCCTGCTTCTCTGGATCCCCTTTCCCCACTCTCCACCCCCTGCAGCTCTGTTCTGCTGGGAGCAAACAGATAAGAGAAGCTTGAGTGTCCCCTGGCTGAGGAAGAAGATTGACAGACAAACAGGTAAAAGTTCACTTTGCTAAAAGGTGTTCCTGGGCAATTACTAAATTGTCTCATAGTGCAATTCATTAGGAAAAAAAAGATATTCTATACAAGAGTTTAAAGAAGACCACACAGCTAGCCTAATTGAGCATACTGCTGATGGTAGAACATCCTGATGGGACCAACGGTACTACCCTTCAAAGAGCATTCATTACACAGAAGCTTGCTGCCTAGGGACATGGACTTCATAGTCATGCCACCAGCTTAAGCTCTATGAACAATCCTTACATTCTGAGGTAAAGGTTGAGCTCACAATAAAACACATAAACAATCAAGAGCAAGTTACGTCTTCTCAAAATAGTCTCGTACAGAGAGACAAGTCACTACCACATGAGCTAAGAGGTTGGGTGTATGTTAAAATTTGAAGGGAGAAGGGTCCCTTTTGCCTCAGATTAACACAATTTGATAGTACTCTATTTGATCTTACTAATCACTTAATCCCAGAGTCAAGATGGAACAAGAACAAAAGGATTCAAGTGAACCCACAAATGTCTGCTTCTTCAGACTGGGGTCATGGCTCACATAGACGCCTTTAAGAACTCATGTGGGTACAGCAGAGAAGATTTCTTCTGCCCACTCGTTGTTCTGTTCCCCCTCGCTCTGTGTGTGTGTGTGTGTGTGTTTGTGTGTGTGTATAAGTCTGTATATAAGGGTGTGTAAGTGTGTGTGTGTGTGTAAGTCT